TAGGGTCCTTGTGGTTGTCTGTAACTACTCTGATTGCCTTGGAATAGAGGTGGTCTGTTTTGGAAACCAGGTGGTTCTTATGGTTGTCTAAAATTATTTCCATAGTTCTCACCATAGTTTCCAATCGCATCTACCTGATGCATCTCTGGCTCGGCACCTTGGGTTACTCCAAGCTGGCAACTTGAAATACTGTAACCTGGAACACCACATAACTCACAGACAACATTAGTAGTACCTGTTCCTAGTTTATCAAATTTAACAGACAAAGCCTCTACCTTAGCAGTAAGTAAAGAAACAGCATCTAGAGAGTACTTACTTGGAGTTTTTGTTGGTAAACTCCGTTTTGAAGACCACTGGTAGGTGTTCTGGGCAACTTCTTCAATAAGATTATAGCCTTCCTCCATGTTTTTGCTCATGAAGGCACCGCCAGCGGCAGCATCTAGCGTCACTTTCTGGTTTGGAGATAGCCCATTATAGAAAATGTGAACGGTCAACCAGCGCTCAATCCCGTGGTGTGGGCATTCCCGAAGCATTTCTTTATACCTCTCTCAAGCATCATATAAATTTTCATCATCTTTTTGGATAAAAGTGATGATTTGTTTCCTCAACTGGTCTATTTTGCTGCGTGGGTAGTACTTGTTGAGGAAAGCGTGAGACAACTGCTCCCATGTTGAAATTGACCCTTCCGGAAGCGAATACAACCAAGCTCTAGCTTTATCTCTCAAAGAAAATGGGAAAAGTCTTAACCGGATTGCATCACTTGAAACTCCATTTACTTTGAGTGTATCACAGTACTCAAGGAAAATTTGCAGATGCAAATTCGGGTCTTCGGAAGGTAGTCCACCAAACTGGTTTTGTTGAACCATCGAGAGCAAGGATGGCTTCAACTTAAAGTTGTTCGCTTCAATGGTAGGCCTTGTGATCCTAGGCCTCCTACCCATTGAGTTTGGTGTTGCAAAATCACGGAGTGCTCTGTTTTCTGGATCAGCCATCTGACCGTGGTTTATTGAAACAGAGGCTTGTTGTTTGCTCTACTCTCGTTGTCTTCGGAGAAATCTGATCTTATGGAGGGTCCGTTCAATTTCAGGGTCAAAGATGTCTTTGAAACTAACACTCCTTCGCATAAAAGAGCCTGTAAAATCCACAGAAATACAAAAAACCAAAGTGTAGTTCTGCAGAAAAATATTAAACCAAACCAGAAAAATAATGCAGAAAATTTAAAAGGTCTAATCTAACTAAATCACCGCTTAGCCAATATTGGGGGAAACACAAATCCCCGACAACGGCGCCAAAAACTTGATAGTCGTTCTGCAAGCATACGGGGTATCGCGTAATAAAAAGTTATCGTTCCCTCAGAGATTGTGCCCAAGTACTAGTTCACAATGATTCAATTATCCAGACAAATCATTTCAAAGAGAATATGTTGCAGAATGAATTGAAAACCAAAAAACTATTGACAAAAGATTCGATTGAAAACTTCCTTGAGAATCAAGATGAATAAGAAAACTCTTAGGAGTCGGTAGGTTCATATGTCATGTACCAAATTTAAAGCAATTCATTTCCCCATTATTCAATTTCTATTTCTAGAGATAGGGTAAATCAAATACAATAAGATAGGGTAAAATTGCCCCTTACCTCGGATTAAAGATCCACGCACGAAATCAACAACGAGAAGGCTCCCCACATAAACTTAGTCCTAAATACATAGAAGAATCTAATGAGAACCAAGGAAAACTAAGAGAACAGAGAATGAGGATGAGAAATCGAAACTCTAACCATTAAAACTTACCTCCAAGCGTTCTCTCAACCCGAATTCAACCTTCAATCTAGCTCACGAACGGCTTTGGAAGCAATTTAATCGGTGAAGTAGGGTTTTGGGTCGAGAGAATTGAATAGATTTTGAAGATAAGAATGGAAAAATGAAATTTCCAAACCCTAATCGTTTCAAATACTCTTCTAATTGCAACACTCTCGCTACAGCGAAAACCTCGCTGCAGTGACACCTTCTCTCGCTACAACAAGATTGCACTCAGAATTGCATCCCAAATTGTCGCTGCAGCGAGGGAGAAGCCGACAGTTTCAAGCCTTCCTCCCAAGGCCTTCTCGCTGCAGCGAGAACACCCTGTACCCTATACTCAGCCTATTTCAAAAAGTTCAGTATAGTCAACCTCAATACACAACAACATCCACATTTATCATATACACACACATATATCTATGTATCACCATTCAATACTCATCACGCACTCTAGTCCACATTCTAAAATCCATTCACATTTACACATATATATAGTAATAATCAATATTACAAAATTCGGGGCATTATACCGTTTATATTAACAAATAATAGAGTTCGTAATTTAATTGAAAAAATGTTAATACTCTCTAATTTTAAGATATTAGAAGAACTATAATCATTAATCTAAAGAATATATAAAATATCTTCTTAAATTTATGAGTACTCATAAAAAAATTATGGATCTATAAATAATAAAAGACAAGTAATAAGTTGATTAATATTTTTGTGAAAAATAAAAAAATTAAATATATTTATGAAATTTTTTAAAACTTGATTTATATAACTTTATTTAATGGTTTAATTAATCATATTTTATATTTATAAAGAATTAAAGTGAAATGACTTTTATCAGGCTTGCTCTTAGAATAAAGTAAAATAACTTTTATTATGTTGCTCTTAGAATAACTTTATATATATATATATATATATATATATATATATATATATATAACTTTAAAAATATTTAATAATTTATAAGTACAAAAGTTAGCAGTATTTAAAACAAATTTGTTATAATTTTATTCAAGAAAAAATTATAAGAGGATATTTGAGAATGATGTAAATTTTGAAATAAATAAATAAATGCTATAATTTGTAATAGTAAAAAATATTTATTTATATAAAATTAAAGATATGTAACTATTAATAATTTTGACTAACATTATAGTACATATTAAAATAAATATTATAAATCTTATAAATATAAATATTTATGAAAAATTTAAAATTATATAAGATGATAAAAGTAATTTTATTAAAGTAAATATAAGTATTTATAGAAAATTTTCAAAATTTTATTTAAGGTAACTAACATCTATATATTCACACAGAATCTAAAATTTTATATAAGATAATAAAGAAATGTTAAATAACAATTTTAACTTTAAAAATTTAGAATAAAATTAATAAAAAGATAGGTAAAATATAAAATAATTGCAAACAAAAAAAAGTATAATTAATACATTATTTTTAGACAATTTTAAAAGTCAATTATTATTTGTTAATTCTTAAATCAATATCTTAATGAGATCTTTAGGACAATTATATAAAAGTTCAAGATAATAGTTACTATTCTTTCACTAAATGTCCTTTGTTGATATAAATTATTTATACTACTATTTTGTATCGTAAATTTTTATTAAAAATAATATATTATTAAATTTAATGCATTGATAATATTAAATGTTATAATTTTTAATAAAATATTTATTATTTATTGATTTATTATCATTATCCTTAGACTAAAATGATAAATTTAAACTTGTATAATAAAATATAAGGTTTAGATTTTAAATTTTGAAATAAATTAAATACAAGGCTTTTTTTTAGTACAATTCAATTTAAGTCCAATGCAACTCAAGCTTTAAAAAAAAAAAAAACAAATTTTGCCCGAAACAAGCTAACTCTTTAGATAATCTGTTTTATTAACTCTATATTGGACACACGTTAAAAAAAGTATTACAGGAAATAAAAATTAACATTTATTTTCATCTTTATTATAATTTTTTTAATGTATATCTAAGAACAAAAATTAAGAATATATAAAATAATTTTTTATTAAAATTCATAGGATGTGATAAGATCCAATGCATTAGTAACCTTAAATGTTATAATTTTTAATAAGAATTTACTATCCATTAATCTCTTATTATTTTGTGTTCTTAGATACAAGTTATAAAAATGTGAAATATGTTTTATACCATAGTTTATTAACATTTATATTAATGAGACACTCATTTATTACTCTTATATTCTCCCTATAAATAAATGTATTTTTATTTAATATATTAGTCAATAAGTTGGTAATTTAATATTATAGATATTTTTAAAATATAATATAAATTTATAATATATATTAATCTTGATAAAGAATAATCGAAGTAGTATTTCAACAGTCAAGGAGTTCAAATAAAACTTATTAATAAAATAATTAAAATTTTTAGAGGGTATAAATTGAGATACATTAAAAGTTATAAAAGTAATGTTATTACGGTTTCAATAAAATAAATCATTTTGAATTCTTTAAAATACCAGTGTATATATAAAATTGCACTGTGCAGTTAGAAAGTCAAATTCTAAGATGTGTACTTCCTCGAAAAGATTATTTTTAAAATATTTATGCAATGGTCATTGCAGTTTTCGTTCAAATGCGATTGGCTATTGCCTATTGGAAAGTCACCCTTTTTATATTTTTTTATAAAATTCTATTATTTTTTAATTTCTTAATAAATAAATACCATAAAAGTCCTAATAAATAAGACCCTTATTTTAACTCTTTAACATAGCACAAATAATAATAATAAAAAGCACTCTAAATGGAACTTTGCTCTTGCCCACTTGAAGAGGAGGAAAACAAATCAAAATATGGGTTCTAAACTATTCTCTTTCTAAATTATGAATCGCCATCTGAAGCAAAATTCACATAAAATATAAAAAGACAATTGAAACTCATTAATTATTATATATATTTATTTACAGACTTAATTCATAAGCAACTGGTTTCTTTGTCCTTTCCCAACCTGAGATACGGTTTTCCTCCGTGTTCCACACCTACCATGCCCCAACCAAGGAGCATTTCCATTTGTCAAATTTCCACACGATGGCAAATTCGTTATTATCCCACAAAACACAGGGCAAAGAAACAAAACCTCAGCAAACTTCACCTATAAAATTGGTTACTCCCTCACACGTCTTCATCAACAAACCAGTTCTCAGTCAACGAAGAACAGAAACAATGGGTTCTCGCTACGAATTGGAGCTGAAGCTCTCATCGGCTCGCGGCCTCAAGAACGTGAACTGGCGCCACGGTGCCAACAGGCCATACGTCGTCGTTTGGGTGGACCCCGCCAACAAGCTCTCTTCAAGAGTTGATGAAAACGGCGACATCGATGCAAACTGGGATGAAACCCTCGTTATCCCTTTACCCCCCAAGCCCCTTGAAGATCTAACGCTTTACATCGATGTGGTCCACGCAGGCTCTGAAGAGGACACCAAGCCGCTGATCGGATCGGCTCGGCTCAAGCTCGTCGAAGTTCTCGATGATGTCGGAATCGGCGAGCGCGCCAGCCGCTCGCTAACGCTGAAGCGTCCCTCTGGAAGGCCACATGGCAAGGTTGAAGTTAAGGTTACCATCAGGGAGCCTAGCTATCGTGCGCAGGGTGGGTATCATGCCCCTCCTTATGGTGTCCCCCGGCAAACGGCGTCGTCGAGGGATTATTCCGCTGCGCCGCAGGGTTATGGGTTTCCATACGGCGGCCCGCCTCAGGGACAGGGACAGTATTATTCAGCTGCTCCGCCTGCGGGGTATCCTTATAATGCGCCGCCTCAAACGGCGTCGTATGGGCAAGGGTATCCGCAGCAAACGGCGCCGTATGGGCAAGGGTATCCTCAGCAAACGGCGCCGTATGGACAGGGGAGTGGTTATGGGAGTGGCTATGGGAATGCCGCCCCGGTTGAGGAAAAGAAAAAGAGCAAGTTTGGGGGAATGGGGACGGGATTGGCTGTGGGCGCCGTTGCTGGGGTTCTAGGTGGAATCGCACTTGTTGAAGGCGCTGAGTACGTTGAGGACAAGATTGCTGATGACGTGGCAGAGAGGGTTGAAGATGATCTTGGGTATGATGAAGGCGATGATTTCTAGAGTGATGTGATGAGATATTTTGGGAGTGAAAAAAAAAAAAGTAATTTTTTTCAAGCTTTATTTTTTCTTTCTTTTTTCAGTTTCGTTTGAGTTATGAGTTAGCTTTTCATTAATGATATCAACTTATGTTTATTTTCGGGGTCTATTTCTAAAGTGTGATTTGTGGGACCAAGAAATGAACAACTCAACTACAATTAATTTGCTGGAAACTGGAAAACGCCATTTATGCGAGGAATCCATTAGAAAATTCTCGAATTAAGGGATAAGTCTGGAAATTATTGTCACAATTTGATGAAAGTTTAAAACATTAGGTGCATTTTTTCCTCAACAAACACCTTCAAGAACCACATTGCGTGTGTATTGTGTTAATTGAATGCTTCACCAAGAATACAATGTGCGATTGGATGCTTGCACGTTACGATGGGAAAGTCTCAAGCATTTATTTTGCTGCGAAAATGGTAGTGATGATCATTAAGCTTAACTCTTAATTTTTTATTAAAAATTAAAAATAATATTTATTGCATTTTTCCATTCTTGAAATAATATTTTTTTAATAAAAATATATTATTTTTGAATTATTGATAGAGTTGAAGTTAATATTTTTTAAAAAAGGTTGAACTCTTTAATCTCTAGTGCATGGAGGAGCTGGGATGTGAGACAAATGGAGACTACTGACTCTAGACGCACCCGTGAATATGTAGTGTCATGTGTGATTATGTGAGCAAGTGACAAGTATGAAGACAATGACCAAAGTCCCAATGAGTATAGTATTCAGCAAAACAAAGTGTCTTGCTCATTAATTATTCCTAACTCAAAATATGAGAACTGCCAGAAATTTATTTTTTTAATATATTTTTCTCAACACATTGTTTATTACTTTTTTATATCTTTAATTATAAAAAAATAAAGACTCGTATTTAAATATATTAATTATTGCTTTTTTATACTCATTTATTATGAGATTTATTTAATAATGTACTTTCCTATTAATAATGTAATTTGATCATTTAATATTATGTATAAATTTATGATATATAATTATTTTTATTAATTTGAGAAATAAATTATTTGTTAGGAGAAAATATGAGTGATAATTATTAAATTGAAAGCAATATTTTTTATGATTTTGAATAAATTTTGGTTAATAATACAAAATTAGTTTTGTTAACTTCAATTTTATAACTACATTTAAGGATAAAAACAATAATTTCAATTAAAATTACGTATTATATTAAAGATATAATAAATATAATAAACACTTTTAATAAAATTTATTACTTTTACACTTTTCAAATCAATATAAAAAATAAAATAAAACTGTGATGTGCTTTCCAGAGAAGTGTATTAATTGGTGCTCCCCGCATGTTCACCATTGGCGACTTTGGCTGGGATACCTTTTTTTTTTTTCTAATACCCATATTTTCTTTTTAAGGAGTCTTCTTTTGGAGGGTTGTATCACACATTGTTCAAGGGATCGTTTGCAAGGCTAAATTATTTGTTATGATATGTTAAGCTAATGCAATTAATTATTGATTAGTCAAGCAATGATACAATTTTCAGTTATATTTATTTAGGTAACTTAGGTTAGATTTATACGAGTAGTTATTTAGTTTTTAGTGAAGTAATTCAAGATTTAGGTTTATTATTATTCAGAAGCACAAAGATAAAACAAAGTCCGCTTAATTTTATAAATTTTAAAATAATTTTATAAATAGCATGTAAAAAATGGTATGTATATAAAAAAATTAATCAATTTAGTAGAAAAATTCAAATCTTAGCTTACATTCCATAAATATAATAAACAGCCTATAAAAATACCTTGAATACAGTCATTAACCTAGAATATTAATTTGTAGGGAGGGCCCATGCTTTGATCTGCTTCTATGGAAACCCTTTTTAGTTATTGGGCTTGGAGGTTGGGATAGCTGATTCAGATTTTGTGACAATTAAAAAAAAACTTATTAAGATATTGATTAAAATTTTAAATTATGTTTTTTTTTTTTATAATTTCAAATATATTTTAACATGATTTTTAATAATATTTTATTTTTAATTCTTTAACTAGTGTATTAGAAATTATTAGATTAAATTATTTAAAAAATACTTAATAAAAAGTATTTATTATTGTGAGATGTTTTAAATTAAATTGTTCTTTATTTCTCGATCAGTGGTTGGCTACAGAAGTAACTAGGCATAAGTAAATATTAGTAATAACATTCGAACTAATAATTTATGTTATATTGTAAAACATTATAAATGTGTATTGAGTTATTTACTTTTGTTTATAATAAATGTAAAAAAATTATAAAAGATAAAGATGTATTAAAACTTGACTTTATAAATAGATAAGATTTAAAATATATAGATTAATTATTTAATTATGTGAATGGAGTTACTTATTAATTAACACAAATCACAGAAGAATGAATATACAATACAAATATATATAATAAATAAATAAAGGAAAACGTAAATACAACGGAATTATACTAGTTATGGTATAATTGTAGATGTTGATACAATTATATCTCTCACACCATTATGCTATGAGAGGATAATTTAGAAATTGTAAATTAATTTATGAGATTAATTTTAGTATATTATTAGTGTAAAGATGTTTATATTGTAAACCAATTTGAATACATCTTAAATATAATTTTTGTATTAATTAATATAAAAATTAACAATTTTTATTTATATCATAATTTATTATTGAGTAATAGTGTAACAAAACTTTTACATTGTGAGGTATTTAAATTGAGTTGTATATTTATATTTTAAATATATTTAAATTAATTTTTAATAATATTTATATAATTTAATTTAAATATATTAATAGTATAAAAATTTCTTTTATTGTCTCCAATCATGATTGTTATATCAGAAGAAATATTATTTTTATAATAATTAATATAAAATTTATATTCATAATTATTTACAGTGAAAATTGTAGATTGTAAATAAATAAATTTAAAAATAATTTGAGGTTAAATTTTAGACTTTTTTTTATTCTTTTAAATGTGTTGTAATTAGAATGATTGAATAAAGGTCGTAAAACATAAAATTGACCAAAAATAATAATGGAACAATGAAATCAGCATTGAACTGAATGTAAAAGAATTACAGAAACTACTTAACAAGAGTGAAATTGTGAGAACAAAATGAACTAGAAATAAAGAATTAGAAATAAACGTATGATTAAAAGCAAAGAATAGCAAGGGCTATGAATGTAACACCCTCTTCTCATTTTTTGTAAATTATGTTTATTTAATATTAAGTTGCATTAGAATGCATTTAGATGTAAGTTTGGAGAATTTTAGGAAAGTTTTGGTGCAGGAGATCTTGTTCAGGCGAGATTGAGCGTGCAGGAATACCTTGCTGCAGGTCTATCTCGCTTAAGCGAGATAGGATAAATGGTTCCCAACTGTCACCTCGCCCAAGTGAGAGTGATCTCGCTCAGGCGAGATGGGTCGCTTAGGTAAGGACCCATAGGAGAAATGACATACTCTTTAGACATCAGCTCACTCAGGCGAGATGAAGCTCGCTCAAGCGAGCATATCAAAAAATAATTGGTGAGACCACTATCTGCATATCCTGCTCAGGCGAAATGCTCGTCACTTAAGCGAGATGCCCCTCGCTCAAGCAAGAATATGTGGGGCTGATGGGTATTTAAGAGATTTCTCGCATGAGAAATTCATTCTATTTCAAACTCACGTCCCTCTCTCAAGTTTTCTCTAAACTCTCTTTTTCCTTTACTCAGATAAAAACTTCAGAAACTCTGATTTCTCTTCATAATCACACTTGGACATTAAAGCTAAGTGATTCTAAGTAAGTTTCTTCGAATTAAACTTGAGTTTTTCCGATCATTTTTCTTGTTCTTGTTTCTTATGAATATCTCTTGGTGTTCAGGAGAACTTCCAATAGTTGACTCCCAACCTTTTTCAATATATCTATGTGAGCTCATCTTCGAGGTAAGGAGAGATTTATTTTATCTTTCTATTATAGTATTTATGTTGTGCTCATAGAGCACTGTTATGTGAATATGGTATGAGAATAGATGAGTA